CTATAACCCTTTTTTTATTTATTATTCTTTTTGAAAAAAATGATACATTAAAATTTTAATTATCATTATTAAAGCATTTATATAGAGTATTTAATAAAAGTAAAATTGAAAAGATGTAAATTTTTTTAAAAAAATTAAGGTTCCAACTAACTTTTTTTTTCATAAACTGTAAATTAATTACCAATGCCCTGCATCTTGATCTGGACAGAATAAATAATTAAGCCATACGCCCTCCTTCCTAAAATATAAGGGATTGCCATGATATCTTTCAGTAATTATACACGTTTGCATTTATTATCTTGAAAAAGGAGAAAGAGATATTAATTGTATATTTTATCAATCACCATGATATGAATTATAACATTATTGGAGGCAAAACAGAAAAAAAAATTATAATTTTATATATTTTCAACTAGAAAACAAATTTTAATTGATATGTGAGATTCCTTTAAAATTATCTTATATGTTGCGGCGAGGAAGTAAATAACATATAAATAAAAATAAAGATGTGCTTTGTATATATACTTGTCAATGTCAGTATGTTTTATAACTTCACTTATATATCTATTTTTAATTAAATTTATTAAAATTTTCAGTTCTCTCCTTTTGCTTTTGTTTTTCCCTCCGGCGGATCAATGACCGGATGCATCATACCGTGCAAAACTAGTTTCTTAGAAACAAAAAGAAAGAAATTTTTTTAAAAAAAATACAAGGGCACGGATAACTGAGCAACAAGAAGAAATTACATCAAACTGACATATTCATCTGCTTCTCTTACTTCCATTTTTTTCATGGCGACAATGAAATTACTCCAAACTAATTAAGTCTAAGGCAAGAAGTACACCAGGCCAAAAAGTAGAAGGTATGCTTTCTTTGACCAGAATATCTGATACATTGTTTCATATTCTTCATTTTAGCATGATAAGAAGCTTGTATATTGACCTTGTTATCATCTTTTTATAGAAAAACTCAATATTACAAATGTGGAAATTAAAACATGTACCTTCCATAATTTCATGAATTATAGCTAAATTCATGAATTAAATTACATTTCTCTTCATAAGTATTAATGACCCATCTTACCAGTCGAAAGCAAGGGAAAGCTACGAACTATGATCTTCTGAGTAAATCTTGAAAGCTCTAGTGATCGAATATAATATTAATTGTGTAGTGGTAAGAGTTGTTGTCTGGCTCTTGGTGGAGAACCACGTCGTTTATCGCCATTTCCATTGTGAATTTTGTTCAACAATTTACGGAATCCACGCAGAAGTAACAGGATAATGATGACGAACCACCATGGAAGCTGCAGAATCAAACATATCAGAAGAAAAACAGTTAGAGAGCCAGACACTGACGCGAGCATCTCAAACTTCATTGCTTCAGTGAAGCAGTATGCTATTGAACATGCGACAGAGGCCGCAAAGATTACACGATGAAGCTTGAATGCTGAAGCAATATGTGTTTTAATAACATACTTTTTCTCATCAATTTTAAAAGATAAAAAGAAAAATTTGCAATAAAAAATTAATAATATACATTTTATAATTATGACAAAAAATTTTAGGTCATTGTCTATATAATTTTTGAGTTCTTAGTCATAATTTTTTTGTTCTTTTTGTAATTTTTAAGAATATTTTTTAGTTAACTAATAGTTAAAGTTTACTTTTGTTAATAGCAAGAGTCAAATTGTACTATTTTTAAAAGTTGAGGAAATAATTTGTATAATAAATGAGTTTAGATGTATGGTGATACTCATAAAGTTTAGGGGATAATTTGCTTACTTCTTGAAAATCAATTCAACAGAAATCTATTTCTATTGTTGCTGATATGAGAGTATTTTTTTTTCAAAAATATTCCTAACTTATTTTCAATGTGCTACATTGTCGAACAGCAACAAAGATCTGGAAAGCAGTCACAGATCTCACATGCTCTAATACTTGCTCTCGTATTATGTTGATAAAAACAGTTTCAATGTACTAGGAAAGGCTCCATGAAGATAGAAGAATATTTGAGCAAAATGGAAACCCTATCAGATCATATGACACTTATTAGGCATCCACTTCCCTTGTCTAAACTTGTTATGTAGACTTTAGCAGGTTTGGATGTAGAGTATACTCTAATGATAGTTCATCTAGCTGATAAACTCAACCTCTCCTAGATTGATTTGCATTCTTATTTGTTGAATTATGAACGTCACCTTGAACACCTGAATAGTGTTCAGTCAGTAGGTATAGCTTTTACTCATTTGAGTTTTTGGACTGAACGCTCTTCCTCTAGTAATTGTCAGGGATCACAAGGTTGACGATCTCAGTGGCATGGTTCTGGTTGTGGACGAGGAGGCAAAGGATGAGGACATAATGTATGTAATGGCAAGTTTTGTCATCTTTGTACTCGTGCAAGACATGATGTTGCTGATTGTTTTTACCAATTTGATCGTAACTATCATAATAATAGTGTGTCATCAAATCCTACTACCTTTTATGCTACTTTAGACACAATTCAGGACCTAGCTTAGTACTTAGACAGTGGTGCTTCTTACCATGTCACACATCAAAATGTCATCACTGATATGAATCCTCAGCCAAATGCAAGTACACTCACAGTAGGTAATGGTGCTAGTTTATCAATAATTGGTCATGTTACTGGCACTCTGAAGTGTGATAATACTCAACTATTGATGAAAGATATACTTGTGGTGCCATGAGCCTGTTCTTGATAATGATATACTTACTCAATTTTTTACTGATCTATGTAATGTGAAGGAACTGAAAACAAGACGCGTCCTTCTTAGAGGCAAACGGTGTGATGGTTTACACAAAATTGATGGTGTTCCTCAAGTTTATGATGTTGCTTCTAATAAACATCTAGTGGCCTTGCTTGCTGCTTTAGAAACTTGGCATAGACGTTTAGGCCATACATAATGTAATGTTGTTAAAGAAGTTTTACAAAGTTGTAATATCTCCTTTTACAATAAAGACAACTTTGAATTCTATAATGCTTGTCAGTTTGGTAAAATGCACAAGTTTCCTTTTGAATCTTCTGAATCCAGAGCTAACGCACCACTTGAATTAATTTTCATTGATTTATGGGGGCTAGCTCTTGTTGCTTCAAAATCTAGATTTAAGTATTATATTAGTTTTGTTGATGATTTTAGCCATTTTACGTGGCTGCATCCTCTTCGTTCTAAGGGTGAGGCTCTTTCGGCTTTTAAACAATTTTAGAAACTTGTAGAAAATCAATTTGATACAAAGATTAAAGCTCTTCAAAGTGACTAGGGAGGAGAGTTTAGAAGTTTTTCATCAGTTTTGGCTGATTTTGGGATTATTTTTCATCATCCTTATCCTCATACATTAGAACAAAACAGACATGTGAAAAGAAAACATCGTCATATAGTTGAAATGGGATTAAGTATGTTAGCTCAGGCTTTAATGCCTTTACATTTTTTGTGGGAAGCATTTATGAATGCTAGCTATGTGATTAACAGGATACCCACTTCGGTTTTAGATCAGAAATCTACCTTTAAAGTTTTATTTGGTTCTAAACCAAACTACAGTGGTTTTAAAATATTTAGTTGTACTTGTTTTCCATGTCTACGGCTATATAATAAACATAAACTAGAGTTTCATTCAGAGAGATGTGTATATTTGGGTCCTAATCCTTCACATAAGGGATATAAATGTTTAATCACCTCTGGTCATGTTTTTATCTCTTAGCACGTTGTTTTTAATGAAAATGACTTTCCTTATATAGGTAGCACAACATCATCTCCTTCTTTTCCAGAATAAAATATTAGTTCTTCATCTCAAGCATGGCTCCCTCATCTCTGTTCTAGATGTATTGAAATAGAGTCTCAACAGACTTCTTCATGCAACGTTAAAGACAGCACTGTTTCATTAACACCAACAACGTCATTTCATAATAATGAAGTACCTCATCCTCATACTGGATCTCTGTTTGTCACTTCTAGTCCGGCCCACCTTAATACAGACTTGATTCTTGAGGCCCAATCTCTTAAGTCAACAAGTGTTAATTCAAAGGATGAATTTGGTTCAAATATTCAAGACCCTCTTGTTACCATAAGTCTGACTTTCACCTCTGATTCAACCATTGATGATTCTTTATCGTTTCTTGCTCCAGTTGTCAATGATCACCCCATGATGACACATGGCAAGCATGGTATTGTTAAACCAAAAAGGCCTTATGTTGGTCTTGTTTGATATGATCTACAACAATTGTGTACTGAACCAAGCTTAGTAGCAGAAGCCCTTACACTTGATCATTGGCATCAAGCTATGTCAGCTAAGTATGCTGCTTTACTAAAAAATAATACCTGAGATTTAGTTCCCTTTAATCCTTCTTTCAATGCTGTTGGGTGTTGATGGGTATATAAGACCACGTTCAAGCCTGACAATACTGTAGATCGATACAAAGCTCGTCTCGTGGCAAAAGGCTATCTTCAAGAACTTGGGATAGATTTTGATGAAACTTATAGTCTCGTTATTAAGCCATCGACAGTGCGTGTTGTTCTTACAATTGCAGCTTCAAGACATTGGGATGTCAAACAACTTGATATTAATAATGCATTTCTGAATGGTGTTCTTACATAGACCGTTTACATGGCTCAGCCAACAGATTTTGTGGATTTTACTAGACCCAATCATGTTTGTCGTCTTCGGAAAGCGTTATATGGTCTAAAACAAGCTCCATAAGCTTGGTTTGATTGTCTTTAATCTACATTGCTGTCTTGGCAATTTCATAACTACTTCTCTGTTTTTCTTTCAAAATGGAGATCAAGTTCTTCTTATTCTTATTTATGTCGATGACATACTTGTTACTAAGTTAAATGACATGTTCTCTTTAAAAGACATGGGCTAATTCACTATTTTCTCAGAATAGAGATTACCTATGATGACTCTGGTTTCTATTTAAATCAGAGTAAATATATTTTTAACTTGCTTAGTAGGTGGCATATGAACAAAGCTTCTTTATGTAAGACTTCGATGGTACTAGGACAGTCGTTATCAAAGTTTGATAGTTCTCCTCTACCTAACCTATCTGATTATCATCAAGTTGTTGGTACTCTACAATCTTTGGCTCATACATGTCCTGACATTTCCTTTACTGTCAGTAAGTTGGGTCAGTTTTTATCTGCACCCACTCTTCTTTACTGGCAAGTGGTTAAATGTTTGTTGCACTATTTACAAGGGACGCTTCATGTTAGTCTTCATATTAAAGGATTTGAATATCTTAATTTCATGGCTTATTTAGATGCTGACTAGGCTACATGTCCAGATGATCGATGGTTTACTAGTGGCTATCTCATTTTCTTAGGCGATGCATTGGTTTCTTGGTCCTCTAAGAAGCAGGCAGTGGTTGCTTGTTCGAGTGCAGAATCAGAGTATTACTCTCTTGCTCACACAGCTTTTGAACTTTGTGGCTTTGATCTTTGATGGGAGAGCTTGGTTTGGTATTCTCTTCTCCTTCAGTTATTTGGTGTGATAATTTGAGTGCATCTGCCTTAGCTTCGAACCTTGTTTTTCATGCTTGTACGAAGCATATAGAGATTGATACTCATCTTGTTCGTGATTTGGTGTTACGTAAAAGTGTTACTATTCGGTTTGTCCTATCTGAACATCAGCTAGCTGACATACTTACAAAGCCATTACCCTCAAGTCATTTTATCTTTCTACCTGACAAACTTGGGTTGATCACCTCTCATTTACGGGGGGTGTTAAGAATACGAATGACCAATCCATAAAATAGTCCAAGATCAATAAGAAGCCCAAGAAGCAGAAGACTAGCAGTCGATCCAAGTCATACACTTTTAGTGATTATTATAAGATTTTCTGTAATATATATTCTTCATTTTTTTCAGAATTCTGTAGAACCTATGATGCGCACATTGTTGTAACTAACTCTTGTACTATATAATGAGTATTAGCTAGTCATGCCACTCACATTGAGTAAGCCTACAGATTCTTTCTTCTGTAAATCTTGATTCTCCTTTAAATCCTTTATTTTAATATATTATAGCTGCAGTTGTGGGAATCTTGAGCTTATTCATTTTCCGTCAGTAAATCTTTCCACTTGTCATTCTACTTCTTTGTTAGTCCCTCTACTATTAGTTAATAAGCCGAAAGCCTTCATTCTCCTTTTGGCCATTTTAAAGCTAATATATAGTATTTCAAAATTGCCTTTTCTTTTTATTCCATGCTTCTTTTTAAATGTCCAGATTCAAATTCATTTTTGAAGTGCCTAATGGCATGACGATGATATTGTACTGGCTCTTAATAATAGAATGTTCATATTCTGGAAGTCAGTTAATAATCTTATTGTTCTTTCATTATTGTACTCCAAATAGGAAAGACTGAGGATGAAATAGACAATCCAAGTAATGAAATTATTTATTGGTTTATTGTTCTTCCTTTTCATTATAAATTTATTGTATTCTAAATGTTGAAAATATCATTAAACTTGTGGAAATATTAGAATTTATTGTACTTATTATAAAATTTATTAAAATTTATGTAATGAAAATAAAATAGGGTCTTTTTAATGACCATTTTGTTTATTTTAAAAGATGATCTTGCATACCAATTTTGGTTGGAACTGATGTAAAAAGTCACTTTTAACATAGGTTCGAACCAATGTAAAAAGACACTTTTAACATTAGTTAAAAGTGAGATGTAAAAAGACACTTTCAACATCAATTAAAAGTGAATTTCTACATGGGTTCTAGGGAGAATTGATGTAACAAGTTCATTTTTTACATCGGTTCTCCCTATAATTAATGTAAAAAAATCTATTTTTAACATTGACTATACAATCAATATACGTCCCTTGAAACAACATTTCTTTGAGAACTGATGTAAAAATGTTTTTTTAATTGCTATTAAAAGTCTTCTTTTTTGTAGTGACTCTTGATCTCAAGAATTAAATTACTCTTTCCTTTGTAAATATAAATAGCCTATCTTTATACTCCTTGTTTTGATCACTTTATTTTTTGTTTTTATTTCTTTAATGCATTTAATTATTTTTTTCAACAATGGCCTATGTGCCAGTAGAAAGACAGGGAAATCTAGGAAGAGTTTTTGTCAGTCAATCTTGAATGCTCAAGCGGTTGGATATAACATTAATATCATGCAGTGGTAAGAGTGGTAATTCTCTGGCTCTTGATTGGGAACCACGTCGTTTATCACCTTTTCCTTTATGAATTTTGTTGAGAAACTTCAAGAATCCACCCAAAAGTAACAAAATAATGAAGACGGACCACCGTGGAAGCTGCAGAATCAGACATATCAAAAGGGCAACAGCCACAGAGCTAGATGCTGGCATTCAAACCGAGAAGCGAAACCACGAAACAAGAACTTCATTGCTACAATGAAGTAATATGCTACAGAGCATATGATAGAAGCCTCAAAGATTATGGGATGAAGTTTGAATGGTGAAGGATTGGTAGCTGAAATTTGTATTTGAAGGAAGCTGAGTAGAACTGGAATCAAGGGAGCGTAGATCAAGTTGGAGGGAAAGGCTTCATGAGAGAAATTGAAGTTACTGGTGTCGAAGAACATAATAGAATCTTGTCTTCTTGAGCAGAAGTTGTGGCTATCACTGTGGTGGTTATGTGTTGTCTCTCTTTGTTGAAAATAACAAAAGATGAAGCGATCATATGATTATGCATCGTGCAGGCATAAGCCTTACTGAATATATTTCTCCATATATTGTACGGAAAAAATTAAATATATGAAAAGAGGTATAGGAGAAGAGTCCAAATGAAAGATGAAGTCATACGTATGATTAAATATGCACTGTGCAGGCACAAGCTTTTCTCAATATATCTCTCCACATGTTGTACGGATGAAATTGAGGCAAAATTCATCCGCAAGTCATTCTAATTTTTTTTATTGAATTTCAATTAGGTCCTTGTATTTTATTTTGTTTTAATCAAGTCCTTATAATTATTGAAAATCTATTTTATTTGTATAATTTTTAGGGAAAATTATTTTTAAAAAAGACCAAGGTTGTTCAAGGGAATTAAAATTCTTGATCCGTCAAGTCATTTCTCATTTAACCTTAATGTCTGAATTACTATTAAAATTGTTCAAGGAGAATCCCATTATATTTGTGACATTGGAACAACTTAAATACCAAGAAATAACTATGAAAAGCAAATTTAAGCTCTTAGCTGTGCATACGAAAGGGGAATCTACTAACTAAACCAGACATTTCTTCAGCAAGTAAACTCACCAACAGCAGACTCTGACTATTGTTTGCTTCCATACTGTACAGATCGTTCTCGTTCTCACCCTCCGATGATGGTGGCATCGATGGCGGCAACAACCACGTGCAGAGTTTCCTCAGCAATAATGCCACGACTCAGTTGAAGATGATCGTCACAAAAAACGTTAGAGCTTCAGCCGCTCGATACATCATCTCTGCCAATCAAATACGGAAATGGATTCAGCAAGAAGAGAGAGGGACATATATATATGTATATATATTTTATATTGAATGTCTATGCAGAGCGGTTTATTAAAAAGCATGAGTGAAAATTTTGACCATCAGCCTTGTAATAGTAAAACAGTCATATTGAGAAATGAGTTTTTTTTTTTTTTACTCTATCAACATGTTGCAGCCTTTCATGTAGTTTCGCTTCTTTTTCTTTTTTTTGTTTTCTTTTTAAAGAGGTCAATTTCTTTTTTTTTTTTCAATAATCAATAGCTAAAGTTTGTCACCTGAATATGTCAGGACCTGCCTACACCGCCCCCCCCCCAACAAACAAAAAGCAATTTCTGAAAAATTAACTTGGAAATTTAAAATTAATATTCATCCAATCTATATTCTTGTTATTATACTTTACCTTTTATTGTTTAAAATAGTCTGCAAGTATTTAAAAATATATTAATTTAATTAGGATTGTTTTGGCCACCATCAAATAATTGAATCTTGAATCATCCAATGCGTGACTATAGTTCAATTGGCAATCTGTCCTTTCCTAACCTAATTAATTCTAATTACATTTAAAAAACATGTCTTACTTTTTTTATTTTATTTATAAATCATTTTAAATATATTTTATTGAAATTTAAAAATATTAAAATTTAATTATTTTAAAAAATATAATAAATTTTTAATTTTGTTCATATTAAATATGTATACTTTGATCACATAATTTCCACAGTCCTTTATTAGACGTATAAGGAAAATTTTGTAATAAAAAGTCAACAACTTACTTTATAGTGAGAGAATTTCTTTTTATGGCTTGTATATAAGACGAGAAGGAATAATTATAGCATATTATGAAAATCCATATCAATCGGTCTAGTTGAACAAAACAAAAAATGGTTAAACCAATATCTTGATTGGTTTAATAAAATATTTTATGATTGATTTGATCACAATACAATTTTAACTATTAATATTCTAATTATTGTCTTGATTGGTTTGGTTTTCAATGCTTTTAAAAGGAAGGAATGAATGAAATAATTTATCATTATGAATTATTAAAAATAAAAATAAAAGAATAAGATGCTAGGTATCGATGGAATTGAAGACCACATCCCACGGGAAAAAGATATCACACATTAGGAAAGGTCAAGCCTCAAGGTATCCACGCCAGCGCGCTAGGACAATCAAAAGCTGGGATTCAGAATTTTTTTTTTAAACATTCTTTTTACAATCAAAAGCTCAAGCCTCAAGAAGTATTAAAAAAGAAAAGAAAAGAAAAGAAAACCTCAAGCCCCAGGTATATTCTATAAAAGCCTCAAGAACTTGGCCGGTGAAAATGATCTCTACCTCATACAGCGGATAACGTAGCTTCCTTATCTGACTAACAATTGGCATTAGCGGGTGACATGGTGTGCGGTCCTGCATGATGAATTTAATCCCTTCAAGTGAATCTGTATGAACTTTAATCTTGCACAAATTTCGTTCCTCACATAACTGAAGTCCAGCTTTGATACCTTCAAGTTCTGCTTCAGTAGAGAAACCATTTCCCAGCATCTGTTGGAAACCCAAGATCTTGTCTCCTCGGTGATCTCATGTCTCAATATTCCATCACAAGTTTTATGACCCGAAGCAACCACCGATTCTATAAGTCCCTCGTAACTCGTGCATGTTAACATGTTAAGCATCGTCCTCAACCTTTGTTGGAGAATATATATATATATATGATGAATATATATAACATAAAAATTATCACAAGTCATACCATTCCTAATTATTGGAGAACAGCTGTAGCCGTTAATTACGGGACGTTGAGGTATGACAGTCGAAGGTGTCCCCCACCCTTTGTTGGTGCCTTGCGGCTGTCTGATTGCTCATTAGACAAATGGATCTTTCTTTCCCAATTCCTATTTCCACTAAATTCATAACAACAGCCATTATTGTATTATAAAGAAAGAATTAGAGATGATCCTGTGGACAATGAAGATGAATGTTTAACTAAGCT